TCTCTACTAAAAATACAAAAATTAGCTGGACGTGGTGGCTCATGCCTGTAATCCCAGCTACTCGGGAGACTGAGGCAGGAGAATCGCTTGAACCTGGGAGGCGGAGGTTGCAGTGAGCTGAGATTGCGCCATTGCACTCCAGCCTGAGCAACAAAGTGAGACTCTCTCTCAAAAAAAAAAAAAAAAAAGTACCAAAGAAATTATTGGTGAAAACTTGCTGTGTTGAACACATGAGAGAGTCCTAAGGAATCTATATTTCTGAATGTATACAACATATATCTGTGAAATATGGTTGAAAATACAACCATATTTTCCAAGTCCTTGTCCTCTTGAGGTGGCATTACTTATGATTTTGCTATGCTTCTTTAGAAATGGATGTTTTACCTGAACGCATTATTTAGAAATACATCTGATTTGTGAAATCCCAAAAGATGCTACTCTCTAAAATACAATCAGTATTTCAAAGAATATTTAATGAAGTTTGGTAAGTACTCTAGCTACCATATGTACAGAAAATGTATTTGAACACTGAAGGTACAAAGGAATTTGAATATGATTTTTAATGTTATTATATGTACATAAGTAGGAAATGAGAATGACTTTTATTTATTTATTTATTTATTTATTTATTTATTTATTTATTTATTTTTGAGATGGAGTCTTGCTCTGTTGCCCAGGCTGGAGTGCAGTGGCGCAATCTTGGCTCACTGCAACGTCTGCCTCCCGAATTCAAGGGATTCTCCTGCCTCACCCTTCTGAGTATCTGGGATTACAGGTATGTGCCACCACGCCCGGCTAATTTTTGAATTTTTAGTAGAGACGGGGTTTCACCATGTTGGTGAGGCTGGTCTTCAACTCCTGACCTCGTGATCCGCCCACTTCAGCCTCCCAAAGTGCTGGGATTACAGGCGTGAGTACCGTGCCCGGCCTCATTTATTTATTTTGGAGACAGAGTCCCACTCTCTCGCCCTGGCTGGAGTGCCATGGCATGATCTTGGCTCAGTGAAGTCTCGACCTCCCTGGGCTCAGGGGATCCTCCCACCTCAGTTTCCCAAGTAGCTGGGACTACAAACACACTCCACCTTGCCAGGATAATTTTTGTACTTTTTGGAGAGACAGGTTTCACCATGTTGCCCAGGCTGGGAGAATGACATTTTAAAAGTCTTTTTCTTGTAGGGATTGAACTATCATTTATTTTTGGCTTCATGATTTTTCAATATCTGAACAGTTTGCCAACAGCAACTATTGCTTTTTAAATTTTCTAGATAACAAGGCTCTTTCCAGGGTAGAATAAAGAGATTTCAAGTTCTCCAAGTACCTATATGTATATGGGAACATGTAAATTGTATGAGATAATGATGATGGTTCTGTTCAAAACTACCTTCGGTATTCATTCAATTATGTTTAAAGATAAATAAGCATACACATTAGTATACAGTCATGCCCCGTATAACGATCTTTAGGTCAATGACTGACTGCATATATGATGGTTATGCCATAATATTATAATATCGTATTTTTATTGTACCTGTTGTTTAGATACACAAATACTTACCATGGTTACTATTGCCTACAGTATTCAGTATAACAACATGCTATACCACTTTGTAACCTAGGAGCAATGGGCTATATTACGCAACCTAGGAGTATAGTAGTCTATACTATCTAGATTTGTGTAAGTACACTACGATGTTTGCACAATGATGAAATCACCTAACAACGCACTTCTCGGAATGTATCCCTGTCATTAAATGAGGTATGACTCCTTATCCATCTATATGTGTACTTATATTTAAAAAGTATATATATTTTTTGAGATGGAGTCTCACTCTGTCTCCAGGGCTGGAGTGAAGTGGTGCGATCTTGGCTCACTGTAACCTCTGCCTCCCAGGTTCAAACAATTCTCCTGCCTCAGTCTCCCTAAAAAGTGTATATTTTAAATCATGATTGTTATAGTAACAATGCACTTAAATTTCACTCTCTTTGTCTGTATATTCATGTGTATTTGTATGTGTATGTATATGTGTATGTGTATATATGTATACACATAGAAACTTTGATATTTAGCTTCATATATAAGTTTACATTAATATGGGATTTACTCATATATCATGATTCAGATCATATTTTCACTTCTGTTTTCTTGGCAATTTGCCATTATGAAAAATTTGCAAGACTTAATTTTTAGGAAATAAATACATATAAAGGGAAACATTAAGAAAAGATTATAGATGAATATAAAAATATGCTAATGCATTCACCTTGAACCTTTGAGAGGAGGACACAGACTTTATTTATACAGTAATGCAATCTGTTGTTAATTTTTTTTAGTAGTAAAATAAGATTAGGCCAGGTGCAGTGGTTCATGCCTATAATCCCAGCACTCTGGGAGGCTGGAGTAGGAAGATTAATTGAGCCTACAAGTTAGAGATCAGTCTGGGCAACATAGGGAGACCCCTTCTCTACAACAAAATATAAAAAAGAAAAAATTAGCTGGGTGCCGTGGTGTGTGCCTGTGGTCCCAGCTACTCCAGAGGCTGAGGTGGGAGGATTGCTTGAGCCTGGAGGTCAAGGCTACAGTGAGCCATGATTGCATAGATTTGCCAGACCCAGTCTCTAAAAATAATAATAAAGAAATAAAATAAGATGAAATTTTAGATTTAATTGTAGGTTAAAATTTTGAGGAAGGAAGGAATACCCTGTATTTTCTGATGCACGCATGTTATACTTGTGATTCAATATTTGTTTTAGAGTATATACATGTCAGCATAATAAAGATTAGAAGCTCTTCAAATCACGATACCTGAGAGGAGACATCATAGGGATTAAATTTCCAATTGTTAAATAAGTGTTTTATGAAGTGAACATGTTTTCAGAGACCATATTGTTATTGAATGTGGCAATCAAGAAGCTCTTGGTCAATGTTTCATTTAATATAAATATAGGTGTTGCAAATTTTTTATGATAGCGACAAACTGCCCAGGAAACAAAAATGAAAATATACTCCAAACCGTAACATACAAATAAACCTCATTTTAACGTAAACTTACTATTGTGTGTGACACGAAATCTAAATGTTTGTGTGTATATATTGAAATTAGTGCGTGAGTATGTGAGTTTGCATGTTTATGTTGAAACTGTGAAAGGAAAATAAATCTCAGGACCCCAAAATCACTAAGCCAAAGGAAAAAGTCAAGCTGGGAACTGCGTCAGGCAAACCTGCCTCCCATTTTATTCCTAAAGAAGATGACTACAATGATTGGACAAAACAAAAACATAAAACGCCATATCTCCCTCACAATTTGCCCACCAGGCAATTCCTTGTGAGCCTCAAGATTTTTACCGTAAAACCGTTCTGTTAAATTTCACCCTGACAATGTAAATGTTGGCTTATCCTCACAGGTATGGAACAAAGGACAGAACTCAAAATCTTCCCTCTGCCCACTTGAGACAAATACGTATCTGATTGCTTCCTCTGCCCTGTGATTATTTTATCCTACATAAAAAATGCAGATTCACTGAGCTAGATGAATGTGTACGTGACTATTCCTCTACCCTCATCTCACTTATGAAGGGCTGATCAAAGACTCAAAAGAATGCTACCCTGTGCCTCTTATCTACCCGCACCTTTTCAAAATTTCTTCCCCTTTTCTCCGTATTTGCCCTTTCCCCTTTAAATACTGAAGCCCTCGAAATCATCTTTGAAGAAACATGGACCTACCTCCCAGGCATGCATGTGCTTAAACTGGCAAAATAAATTTCTAAAACTGTTGAGACCTGTCTCAGATACTTTTTAGTTTACAAAACATAATCCAGATGTTTATCAGTATTACTAATAGGTACTGTTTATGACAGCGCTTTACTCTTGGTCAGCACATGGTTCTTTTCTGAATCCTTTGCAAATCCTTTGCAAGCACCACATCTTAATTACTTAAGATAAAATACTATAAGATTGACCCCTAAGTGATAAGCACATACATACTAAAGTCACAGGAAACCATTGACAGTCATATAATAACATAGGAACATGCCTGTGTTCTGATCTTAAATTATTTTGACTATGAGATTGTATCAGTCTCCTCTGACTGGAATTTATACATATTTGAGTTTGTGTATCCCTCCAAATGGGCACTGCATAGCACACAGTCTTGAGAACCATCTGGACACTTATCTTAGGGTTCCAGACAACTGCTTCTCCCTCAACACACAGGCCTAGTACCTAGGCCAGAAATGGAGTAGGACTCCCAGGAAACCTGGGAAGTGAGTCAGGAAAGAACAACATGTACAGGTGCCTGGATTTGGTCTTCTCCAAGCCCTTAGATGCAACCATTTGCTTTTCCCTCTAGGCCTGGATCCCTGAGGTTTGACCCCTGATACACCAAGATAATTTAGTACCATGAGAAAAAGCTAGGTGAAGAAAAAGCAGAACTGTGAAGACTAGGTAAGTGGAAATTGAGTTCTTGAACTGAAAAGACCCCTGATGAGAATGTAGGTTTAGGCGCCAGTTTGATTTCAGATGAAAACCAAAAGCAGAATCACAATACTGTCAGCAAGTTTCTCAAGTCAGCCATATTTCCTGGTGCCTTAGTCTGTTGGTCACATCTTTTTTTCACACCGGACGGGCGGGAGAAGAGGGCTTGGGGCAGTGTTGGATGGAATTCCAGGAGCAACACTGCCATCGTGAGGAAATTTCTGGAAAAAGCCCCATCCCTTAGGGGACTTAAATTGGAAAGGTCCATTCTGTCAGAGGCTGAGCAGGCTCGGACCGTGAGCTGGATCTTAGTGCCACCTCCTGAGGCCTACCTGAAGCTCTGGACAGACTGAGGTCCAGGTGTAGGAAATGGCCCGCGGGGAGGGAAGACTAAGTCTGTCTCTGCCAGGAAGTCCAGGCCCAGGAAGTTGTAGGGTGGAGTCTTGGTATTCTCCCAGTATGGGCGGGACTGGAGGAAGCCACCAACCAAAGAAGTACTGGGCTTGTGGGTATTTGTCTCTCTCCCCGCCCCTGAGAGTCTGGGAAAGGCGGACACGTGGTGCCTTCAGGCTCTGGGGCCTAGGACCTTTGTGGTAGCAGAGTCAGTGCAGAGAACCAGAAAATACCAGGTTGCTTATAGAAGGATGCCATGTGCTTGCTGGAGGTCTCAGGTGCAACCAAATTGCTTGCAGCTAGGAGGACCTTGAAGAGAAATGGAACCAGCCCGCCAAACCAAGAAGGGTTAGCACTTTTGCTAGGAGAGCTGACCAGGCACAAACAGATGAGAACCAAAATCGAGTGAAGAGGATTGAAGATGAACCCACATTTTAAAAGTTCTTGTCTGCTGGAGGTGGCATTACCTGTGACTTCGCTTCACTTCTCCATACATGGCTGTTATAGCAGGTACATTGTAAAGGAGCATGATTGTTTCTAGAAATGCAAAAACAGGTGGCAAGATTTTAAAACCTGTCATTATTCTGAAGAATACTTAATGAGATTTGAAAAGCATTCAAGTTACAAATGAGGAAAACTTGTTTTAGCATTCAAAGTACAAGAGAATTTGAACATATTCTTAAAGTATATATTATTTGTGCAAAGTGAAGATATAAGAATGTATGGCAAGGATATTTTTAAGTGGCTATTTATTGTGATTGAAGTACCATTTACTTTCTACTTTATAATTTCTTAAAATCTAAACGGTGCCAGCAGTGGGTGTAACTTTTGTAATTTCTTGAAATAGAAAGGTCTTCTAGAGTAAGATAGAAAAAAAATCCAAGCACTCAAAAATATACATTGTTATTCATGTATGCAAATGGTATAAGGTAGTGTTGAAGACTTTGTGCAAAACTATATCCAGTTTGCATTCAATTATCTTTAAAGAGAAGAATAGTCCATGCTCCCAGAGGTTGAATAAAAATAAATAAAGAGAAGTAAATATATATATATAAAATAGGTGCAACCATTTTTTTTCTCTCTATGCCTGTAACTAGGTAACTTGGACCTATCTATCGAATGCATATACATATATATGCATAATGCATATACATATATATGCATTATGCATATACATATATATTATGCATATATATGTATAATCATGGTCAGTGTTAGAGTGAGTATGCGTTTCAACTTTACAGATTTTACATAAAATTTTAAGATAAAATTTTGGTATAAGTTTTGAAAAATATAAACAAAAGAAACCCTAATGTTCTGAGGCATAAGCACGTAGTGCCTGTTCCAATGTTAGTGTGTGTATATATATATACACACACATTTATAGTCAGCATAGTAATGATTAGGTGAGGCAGGTATCAAAATTAAGATACTTGAGTGGTGGTATTATAGGTATTACGTCCTGTGTATAAATTTTTTAAAAATTGAGAACCTAATATTCTTTAATGAATTAGTCAATCAAGAAGCTCATTGCAAATGCTTTATTATCTAAAATCCAGGTCTTGCAAATATTTCATGACAATTTCAGTTACCCAGGAACCAACAGTGAAAAGTTTGCATCTAAAACATGATGCATATATAAATTTAATTTAAATATAAATTTATTGTAGTGTATTACCATAAATACAGACCTGTGTGTGTGTTGAAATAATGGGAGTAAATATGCAAAAGGCTATTAGTGTTTAATACAAGATTTTATGACAGTGCTTTTGTTCTTGATCAGCACATAGTTATTTTCTAAATTCTTTACAAGCACCATGTCTTAATTACTTATGAGAAAACACCATAAGACTGATTCCTAAGGCTTAAGCAGTGGCACACACATACATAATAAAGTCATAGGAAGCCATTAAAAGTCAAATAATGATGTGCGTGGGAACTTGCTTGTGTTCTAATGTTGAATGATGGAACCGTAAGACAAAATCATGTTCCTTTCTACTGGAATTTTGTAAGTTTGGAGTGTGTGTGTCACCTGAAGAGGGACATTGTATGGAATTCAGCCTTGAGATCTATCTGGACCCTCCTATTAGGTTTCTAACATGGCTGCTCCCAACTCAATACACAAGACCTAGTGCCCAGGTCAGAAAATGGAGGACTCACAGGGAACCTGGCAGTGAAACAAGTCACATGGCCTGGTGCCTAGATTTGCTCTTCTCCAGGCTGTTATTTCCATTATTTTCTTCACTTTCTTAGCCCTAGGTCCCTAAAGAATTTCCCACTGAAGCAGATAACTTAGGAAAATGTTGGGGATCAAGGTTGAATGAAGAAGAGCAGACCTACAAAGCTAAGGTAGAGTGGAAATGGGATTCTTTACACAAAGTATGGCTGATGAAACTGGGTGGTATAGGCTTCAGTCTGAGTTTAGAGGGAAACCAGGAGCAAAAGTGAATTCGAATGAGCAGATTTCCCCCAGACAGGGCCAATAGCAAGGCAGCTTTGTTTCCTGTCTCCTTTGTCTTGGTGGCTTTTTCAGACTGAATGGGTGAGAAGAGAAGGGCTTTGGGGATGGGGTGCGCAGGCAGGGCTAATCAGCTTTTCCAGAACAATACTGCCATCAAGAGGATGTAGTTTGACAAAACATAAACCCAAAGTTGTTAGAGTTCCCCCAAGTTTCAGCAACTGAGAAATGTTGGGCCTTTTGTGAGGTTGAGTGGACCCTAGTCCTAAGTACGTCCCCTTCACTTTAAATCTGAAGGCTTCCAGGAGCTCTGGACAAAGGCAGGATCCCAGGGGAGAAGCTGATAAGTGGAGGGTCAGGGGAAGGACTGAGGGGACAGCTGCTAGGCAGGTGGAGTATAGAAAGTATTGGGGCTTAGATATCTACCCAGTGAGGGTGGGGCTAAAACAGATGGCTCGGATCCTATCTGGGGGGACTTCTGGCCACATATCCTCTGGCCGTGCCCCTTGAACAATGAGGTAGGGGGATGGCACAAAGTGTCAGCAATGTTAGGGTACAGATGAAACATCTCATTCCAGATGATGTCTAACAGCAGCCAGCGTGATTTCTAGGGGTCTCAAGGATACCTAAAAGTCTGGTGCCCCTATTGCTTAGAGCAAGGAAGACCTGAGGAGAAGGTAGTGTGTGTCACTTGGGCAAGCCAATAAATCATTGAACATCAACAGGAGTGCAGATATACACAACCAGCAGACCTGGAAGTATTTTCTGAAACCAGGAGGTAACAGCTATGGTGGCTTTGCAGCACTTTTTCTAGGGCCCAATGTGAAAGCTTCCCTATTTAGAGAGACATACTCTTAGCTCTATTAAGGGAACAGAAATGAGTTCTTTAGCTGTTGGCCTTCCCCTGAGGAAGATGAGGCCATTGAGACTTGGGACCTAACTGTTCATTCAGATTAGCAAATATTGTTCTTTGTGCCTGCTTCTTAGCCTTTTTCTAATGAAGATTCCTTGTAAGGCCTCTAAGGACACCCTCCTTTGGAAAGCTGAGCACATCAGGACCCTCAGGACACTTGCCCATAGCATAGCAAGAAAAGGCAAACAGTTCTTAAGATTGACTGCACATGAGAGTTTTCTTGTGTATCAATGATGGATTCAGTGACTGAACACTTACAGAAGAGGAAGAAATGTTATTCTCGGGTACTGCTGTAATATATGGTCACCATCTGAATTCTACCTGCCCAGGGTGGAGCTATAACATCTATTAGGAAGTTTTTAGCAACTACTACAAAGACCATAGGGTCCCTGGGGAAAATGACTCTCCTACTATTCATGTCTTGGTCTAGCTGTCCTTGAGGATGTTATAGGTTGACATGAGCCAAGAAGGGTTGGAAAACATTTGAGAAAGCATGTCTCAATGGTCTCAAATACCCTATGAAAGTGTAAGGTGACCTCTGACCTTTTCAGCCTACTTCAGCTAAGCAGGTGACTGAGAGAAACCCTGCATCAGATGGGTTAGGCTGCCAGCTGTTGAGTCATAGTTTGACTTGACCATATGTTAGACTAGGAAAGCCAGATGTATGGAGTCAGTGCACCATATCTGAACTTACAATTGTGAGTGACAGAGAGGTAGCCCCAGCCGTAGAATTCCTCAGGGTCAGGAATTTTGTATTCCCACACATTTTGGTTTACATTAAGAGACTATCTGGTCAGAGAGTGGATAAAGGCCTAAAGCAGCAGCACCTTGCTGAGTTCCAGGAATTCAAACATGACACTGTGACCAGTAATGGGAGATTATAACTATCGCCAACTCTCAATACCGCTCAATCATTGACACTCATCTCAGATCAAAAGCTGTTTCAAAATGAAGTTAAAAAGAAAACCACTCAGCAGGAAAGATGGCAAAGGAATAAGGCACCTCTATTATCACAGAGTCTCAAATTCACCAGTACAGAAGTAAATTGCAGTTCACTGTATTCTTCCATTATGCCCTTAAATCTTCATCATAACCCCTAGCAAGCCTTTGAAAAGGAATCCATTGATGTCAATGTTTGTGTAATGATTTGTAGAATTGGACAAGCTCCTACCAAGTGAGAAGCACTGTTAATTGGTTCACCTCTTTGAAGGTCAATTGGCCAAATCATTTAACCTTTCACATGAGCATACCCTTTGTCCAGAGACTACCTCTTGAAAGTGATCGCACAGCCAAACTCCCACAGGAAAGTAGAAAGGAGAGGACAAAGAGGATAGCTGAGATTTCTTTTGCAAGGATGGCGGTGGGGAGGGGGCAAAACATCCATTGTCCAAGTTCAACTACAGTGAAGTTCAGCTATAGTAGGTAGTCTTTTTAAGCCTTTGGAAAGATTGAAATCCATTCGCCAAGTCCTCAATAGGGGAGGTGACCACACCTCGGATTTAGGCAAGAAAATGCAAAATGTTGTAACGGGATCAAACCATTCTGATTGGCTAACAACAAGGAAATTGAAAAGAAAAATGAAGTTTTTCTGTCTCTCTTAATTACATACATTATTAATTCAAGTTGGACACATAAACATATTGGTTCAGAAAAGTAAATAGGCAGAAAGGAAGTTATCTGGAAAGTTCCCCAGTCAAGCAGCTAACGGTGTGTAATTTTCTACAGTGATGTTTCTAATGACTTGCCTTCACGTTTTAACTTACACTTGTCCAAAGCCTTGAAATGTTGAAAATGAGAAAAGCTTACATTTGCAAGTTTTTTAAAAATTCAAGAAACCAGCACCATCTCAATATATAATTAGGAAAAGAACATATTACAACATGTATTTTTCTTTAAAACATACACACACACTTCTACACACATGCAAGATTTAAAAGCTCTATTCTGAATTCTATTTCCAAATTTTACTTAACAGAAAATCCAGCTTTCTGAAGCACATTTAATGACATATGATGAGACTTATGTGATGTGAGACCTGAGAAAACTATGATAGAAAGAAGCAACTCAAGCTGCAAGGATATTCCTCATGTATCATGCAAGGATATTCCTCATGTATCATGTAAGTAAAAACTCACCAAATCCTGACAACCTGTCCACATGTGCCCACAATGTACAATTATATATTAAAAAGAGCAGAATGCAATATAACAAACATCAATGGAATATCAATTAAACTTCTTAAGAATATCATTTCTTTACTGCTATATATTTGTTCCACTTACTGATTTTTTCCCAGATGCATATGATTCTTACCGTTTGATCAATAGTAAAAGAATGCTATGAGATTTAGCCATAAAAAACTATCTTGTTCCTCAAGAAAAGTTAATGCTATTGGAGAGTACTCATGGTCTAGAGTTGAGTTGAGAATTCAGGGCGCTAAATTCTAGTGGGACCAATGAGGATGGATTTGAAGAAAAGAAATGGAAAAGTGTGTGTGTGTGTGTGTGTGTGTCTAGCATTGTGCTGAGGAATGTGGGGAGTATATTCATGAGATATAGACTAAATTTATTTCATTAAATAGCATCAGTTGTTATTGAACAGTTATATATCATTTTTTAATGTTTAAACCAATATTCTCATCAAGCTGCTAATAGTGGATGCCTCAAAAAAGTGAGATTTGTGATAAAGTGTTTCCATTTGTTCTTCATATATTGCGTATTCTAAGAGATTTTTCAAGAAGCTGATGATATATTTGTAATTTGAGAGTCAACCCAGAACAAATATGTGCAAAAGAAATTATTGGTGAAAACTTGATTTGTTGGCTATTTGAAACCTAATATATTTATATATTAGGCAAGAATATGCAAAATGTTGTTTTTGCATACACTGATCACAGAAAACAGGTGTATTCAGGACACCCATATTTTAAAAATCCTTATCCGCGTCCGTAGGCATTACCTGTGGCCTCACTGCACTTCTTTGTACAAGGCTAATGTGTCTGGTTATTTTGTAAACATGTATGCTTAATTTTAGGAAATGCAAAAATTTAAGAAGCAACCTTAAAAATATTGCCTATTCCAAGGAGTAGTTAATGATGTTTCCAAATACCTCAAACTGTCTTAAGTGAGAAAAGCATGTCTGACATACAAGGTAACTGGGATTTTAGGTTAAAAAATATACATTATATGTGGATAGGGAAGATATGAGAATGTATGGCAAAGACATTTTAAAAGTCATTTCTTCTAGTTTTCATTGAGATACCATTTATTTTTGGCTTTGTAATTTCTCAAAATATGAGCAGATTTCCAACAGCAGATGTTACCTTTATAATTCCTTCGAAGAGAAACCTCCTTGTAGAATAAAGTATAAAGAAATTTCCGGCTAGGGAAAATAGATGTTGATATACGGAAACATGCAATTTATGTAAGTTGCTGCAGAAGACTTTGTAGAAAACTATGCCCAGTATAAGTCAAGTTATAATTAAGGTGAAATAAATGTGCATATATATGTATAGCAATATTATGTGTTTTTTATATATAGCAATATTATATGTTATATATGCCATATTTAAACTATATAATAAATGGAGCAATAAGAAACATTTTTGTTTGTTTTTTGAGACGAAGTCTCGTTCTGTAGCCCAGGCTGGAGTGCAGCGGCGTGATCTCAGATCACCCCAACTTCCGCCTCCAGGTTCAAGTGATTCTTCTGCCTCAGCCTCCAGAGTAGCTGGGATTACAGGTGGGCGCCACTGCATCCAGCTAATTTTTTGTATTTTTAGTACAGACGGGATTTCACCATGTTGGCCAGGCTGGTCTTGAACTCCCAACCTCAGGTAATCCGCCCGCCTCGGCCTCCCAAAGCTCTAGGATTACAGGCGTGAGCCACCGCGCCCAGCCAAGAAACATTTTTCTGCAATGCTTTGATTACTAAATATGAAGACAAAAATTTTATATAATGTGGCCAAACTGTCTTAGAATCAGGAGTGGCAATCTCCTAGGCAAACCATCATGTACAAACAACCAATTTTAATATAAATTTATTGTCACATATGAACATAAATATAAAACTCTGTGTGTATTGAAAGGAGTAGGAGGACATGATCTAAAAAATTATCAGTGGTCTTAATCAGTTTTATGATAGTGCTTTACTCTTTATCAGTGCATGGTTATTTCTGAATCCTTGGCAAACATCATGTCTTAGTTATTAATGAGGAAGTGATTTTAAGGCTTATCTCTAAGAGATAAATGGTAAATACAGATACAAAGATAAATACACACACACACACACACACACACACACACACACACACACCCCTACATACCCAGTGAAGTGGTAGGAAGCAATTGGAGACCATTTAATGGCATCGGAAAGTGTCTTCGAATGGTAAATGAAATCACAAGACAAAACTCTTGGAATGAGAGCCGTTTGGGCACTTCTCTTAAGACTCCAGCCAAATGGTTGCCAACAAGTCAACACGTAAGACTTAGATCTCTATCCTGAAAATATAGAATTCCTTGCGAGCCTTACAGATGGATGAGCCAGGCAAGGACATGTGGTTTGGTACTTAGAGATAACCTCCCGGCCTTGAGTTTCTAGCATTTTCTTTTTCTGCTTAGGCCTGGATTCTTGAGTCTTGAATCCAGAAGCAGAAGTTGGTAACTTGGGAAAATACTGGAGATGTAATGCTGAGTGAGCGAGAACACAACTGTGAAGGCTAAACCTATTGGAAATGTAGTTCTTAAAAAGAGAAGGCCTCAGTTTCGTTTCAAATGGAAACCAAAAGCAAAAGTACAGCAGCGTGATCAGATTGTCCCAAACTAGGCAAAAGTAAGGCTGCCATGTTTCCTGGCGTCCTTTTCTAGCTGGCGTTTTTTTGGACAGAAAGGGCGGGAGAAGGACTAAGGAGCAGTACGTGTTGGTATATCTGGAGCACTACTGCCATCGTGAGGAAATAGTTTTAAAATGCCGTACGCCACTACAGCGTCCGTCCCGTGAGGTCTTTCGGTTTAGAAACGTCGGTTCGGCGGAGAGATTGAACAGGCCCTAACCCTAAATTGGGTTTCCCTGACTTCTCTGAGTTATTCCGGGATCTCTGGGCAAAGACTTGATGCTAATATGACAAAGGTGATATCCAGGAGTAAAAGCCTATTGTTGGCGAGGCAGGACAGAGCCAACGGCTGCCAGAAGTCCGGGCACAGGAAGTTGTTGAGTGGGGCTTCCATTGAGGATAACTTTCAGGGCCCAGTGAAGGGCTTGTGCCCATTGTCTCCTGTTCCTGTCCCTGCCCCTCAGAAGATGGTTCAGGTCAATTAACCTTGTTCTGGAGCCATAGAACCTGGGCTCCCTTTGATAGCAGCATCACAACTCATAAAATAGGCTAATTTGAGGAGATATAACAGCATTTGTGCTTGCTAGGGGATCTCATACACAGCAAAAGTCTGGACCCCATTGCCTTAGAGCAAGGAGGGAAATGAAGAAACATTGGGAGCCATCCTGCCAAGCCAAAAAAGGCCAATTCTCCTGCTTAGAGAGCAGAGGCATACACAAAGAGGCCAAAAAATGTTATGCTTATAGCCAAGGCCTGTCCCCTAATAGAGTTTTGCCATCATCTCAGATCTCTTGGTGGGGTTGGTGGGGAGGAAGAGAGGAGTGCTCATCTCTTTATTTGTTCTCCCAGAGGATGCTGAACTCCTTGAAGTCTAGTGATTCTCCTCATACATAACAATTGTTCTTCTCTGTTACTTCTTCATAAAAAGCTCCAGTTGAGGATACCTGGTAAGCCTGACAACTCATACTTCTTGCTCCCAAGTTGATGGAGAACGTCTAGAATTACTTGGGATTCATTGCATAATGGAGAAACATTCTGGCCCCCTCTTCTACTTTCCTCACTCAGTTAGCATTTGACCTCATAGAGTAGTTGAAGATGATTTTTTGTACGTGTGTTTGCGTATAAGCGTCCTGTGACTAAAAAATTTAAAACTTTCTTTTCTGTCGTATTTAAACCAGTGGCAAAATTGGTAAAGGAATTAAACAGGCAATTTACAAATGAAGAACTCCAGCTGTTTATTAAATAAATGAAAAGATACTCAATTTTACTACTGTTTATGATATTCTAATTATCTACACACATTGTGTTTATGTATGTATTGTGTTAGTTTATAAATATATGCACCAATATTTGCACATATTCCTATATCTATGTATACATGCCTGTTATATATATATTTATATGTACTATGTATATACGCATGCACATTAAGTTATATACAATTTTTACAAATATAGAGGTATATATAAAGACATGTATGTGTAAATGTGTGTGTGCACAATTAAAATAATTCTATTCACTTAAATATTATATTCAATTACATGTCAATTATTTCAGTTAAATATTAATTATAACTGATATAGTAAATAAATACAACTGAATTATATTAAGTTAAATATTAAATAATTCTATTCAGTTAAATGATTCTATTCAATTAAATATCCTATTTAATATTCTTTTATCCCCAAGACTTAGAACAGTGCCCAGAACTTGGCAGGAACTAGATAAATATTGGTTAAAGGAATGTATGATTTCCTCTACATATTGAGAGATCTGAGATGGTAAACACAAAAGTGCAAATAGTAGTAACTGTACTACCATATACTGTTTATGAATGGGTGCTCATGTCTTTTTTTAAAAAAACATTTTTCACGTTTTTTAAAAAAGGATGCTTTATAAAAGATAAGAAACATCTATTGTTTTAATATATTTAAAAATACAATTCAGATTATAAAGTATCATCAATAGTAAGAGTCTTTTTTTTTTTTCTTTTTTTGAGACAGAGTCTTGTTCTCTTGCCCAGGCTGGAGTGCAGTGGCGTGTCTTGGCCCACTGTAACCTCCGCCTCCTAGGTTCAAGCAATCCTCCCACCTCAGCTTCCAAAGTAGCTGGGATTACAGACATGTGCCACCGTGCCTGGCTAATTTTTTTTTTTTCTTTTCTTTTTTAGATGGAGTCTCGCTCCATCGCCAGGCTGGAGTGCAGTGGCGCAATCTCGGCTTACTGCAACCTCCACCTCCCGGGTTCAAGCGATTCTGCTGCCTCAGCCTCCAGAGTAGCTGGAACTA